TTCTGAGCCTGTGCCTCACTGAGAACCTGCTTATGGCGATGTCATTTGATATAATGTGAGAATCTGCTTCTTTTGTGTGTCTGAGGGCAGGAAATCTAGGCCTATGAGCTGGAAGGGGAGACCATGTGAAGTGCTGAGCAACAGTGTACGTATAATAGGACCCTCCTAAGTCATGGGGTAGGCTAATTATTAAGAGCAAGGCTTCAGGCAAGCTATGTACACCCTGCACTTTAAGGCTGCTTTGTCGATGTGCCCAAGTTAACATCTTATGTCCATCTCCTTGGACTCTCTAAGGTCCTTGCAGCTCAGTTTCTGGAGGCTTTGCAAAGCATGTGGTGAGCCTGGTTCTTGGCACCGACAAGATGCATCATCTCCCCTTCCGCATCCCTTAATGAAGTGTGCAGCTCTTGTCCTCATTAGGCCCCAGCATTGTCAATAAAAGAGTCAATAAACCTCACTGATGGGGTTGGGACCAAGAGGCTGAGATGCAGCAGACGCACATCCACAGGGCAGACGTCAGCTCCACCACGTGTCATGACCCAGCATTGAGGGATCAATAACCAGCTTGGAATAAAGCCTTAGACCCTGCCCTCTGCAGCCCCCTCTCCAGATCCATTCCACCCAGGGTGGAGCAGTGCCAGTCGGCTCCTGCTTTGCTTGCGGTTCCCACCCCATACCATCCTGGGTGCCAGATGCTTTTGTTTCTTCCTGATTGAGCCCTCTGGACACCCCGTGGATGCATATTCAGTGAGTGCCCACCTGGCATGAGAACATGGAGACAGCATCTCCAAGCAGCCCAGAGGCTGACATGGGCTCTATTTTCTGTCTTCTGTCTGCTGACAGTGTGTGAGGTGTCCCGGTGGACAAGGCGGTATATTTTCTGCATGTCGTGCTGCCGGACTCCATTCCTGGCTGCTCTGCATCTCCTTAGATACCCTTATCTTATCTAATTACATGGAATTTCAGATTAATTTTGTGGCCTCTGCTCCAAAGGACCTCTTATCTATGAGGGCCTTGTATTTTAACCTTGTCATTCCTTTGTTGTTTGCTTCGAAGGGGTGGGCAGATGAGAAGGGATGCAAAGATCTTGCTGGAATTGGGGCTGGGGGAGGGGAAGAAGACGAGGCAGACAGACCTGGGATTTGTGTATTCTGCTCCATCCCCCTGCCTGTGTGTGAGACAGCTGGCTGCTTTCTTCCATGACAGCCACATGGTACCCAGCCACACAGAACAGCACCCGGGCAGGGACTCGTCTGCTGCCAACCTCTCCAGATCGCTTTGATATTTCCGACAGAGCAGTAAAGGGCTCTTGACTATCACGGTTTGCCTTGCCTCTCTCCACCTCTTCTAAGACTCCTCCGTGTGGTTTCCATGGCTACTCCCAATCAGATTTGGCTTCCTGCGAAATTGGATTTCAAAGAAGGACAAGGCTTCAAAGGAATTTGTCCATTTAACAGAATGTCATTAGGAGTGAGGCTGACTGTTGAACCAGGGTCCTCAGATGATTAAGGAGGGGCTGCGCTCATGTGTGGAGGCAGGTTTCTGTCTGCAATGAGGAAACTTGATGCAACATGACAGTACCGTATTGGAATCTGCCAGTCACCCACCACACACTACCTGGCTCTGCACCTCCCGCTAGCCCCATCTCTCTAAAACCCAGAGACTGGTATGAGGTAGGATGGGTGCAGAATACCTACACTGTGAGTTTCTGCTCTTTCCCCCTTAGTGTAAGTAAGCTGTGACAGGTGATGAGACCTGTGAGTTAACAAACAATTCATTATCTTGTAGTCTATACTAGCATGTGCCACAATATTTTTAAGAAAAGGGGAAGGTTGGCAAATTTTTTCACATTGCAAACAGGGGAAGCAAGGCAAAGTTTAGGGTGATGTACACGGGAAACTTTGTTTCCATCGGTCTTTATTTATTTATTTATTTATTTATTTATTTAATGGTGTTTGCCGTAGGGTGTGTGCACTCACTGAAGAGAGACAGAAAGAGGCCAAGTGAGAAATCATCCCTCAGAGGGGAGGTGGACACATCACAATCCCTTCTCCTCCATTCTCCTCTCAGGATTTGGGCACACATGCACACACGTCTGATGTGTGTTTCAAGTTACTGGATCTGGGACTCAAACTGTGGTCAGCCATGTGGGAGTCCAGCACCTCAACTGCTACACCACCTGCTGCCCATTCTTGGCGTTTTTTAATAACAGTTTTAGACCTACAAAATTGTTATGAAGTGTGGAGAGTTCCCATATATCCTCCCTTGCCTTTCTTTTTAAAAATTTCTAGTAATCATTTATTTAATTTTATTTATCATAATTATTTTTAAATGTGCTACACAGCATGCATGTTCACCAGACAGAGAGAGATATATAGAGAGAGAAAGTGAGAGATTTGGGCACACATGCACACACGTCTGATGTGTGTTTCAAGTTACTGGATCCGGGACTCAAACTGTGGTCAGCCATGTGGGAGTCCAGCACCTCAACTGCTACACCACCTGCTGCCCATTCTTGGCGTTTTTTAATAACAGTTTTAGACCTACAAAATTGTTATGAAGTGTGGAGAGTTCCCATATATCCTCCCTTGCCTTTCTTTTTAAAAATTTCTAGTAATCATTTATTTAATTTTATTTATCATAATTATTTTTAAATGTGCTACACAGCATGCATGTTCACCAGACAGAGAGAGATATATATAGAGAGAAAGTGAGAAAGCAAGCTGCCAGGTCCAGGACTTGAACCATGGTTGGCCATGTGGGAGTCCAGTGCCTTAACCACCACACCACCTGCTGCTCTCTCCCAATTTTTAATACACATTGTCAGTTCTCTGAAATGAATCATAGCAGCTATAATTTTACAGGGGGAGAGGTGAGGAGGTGGTAAGATTGGTACTTGCTCTGGAGCCTGAAAGAGGCAGCTTGCCTGCTGCTATACTTTCCCAGGGCAAGAAGGAGGATGAGCCATATTCTCCAGACACTCGCTCACTCCAGCTTGTCTCCTTACTCCAGTTTGCTGCAACTTGTAGGTGGGTGATGTGACCATAAAACCAAGGGGCGATACCTGTTCAGATGGGAGGATGTGATAAAAGCCACTTAACCCTTACCATGTCGCGCCCCCAACTCTGAGGTTGTATCTCTGAGTGCGCCATGCCAGGAGGCAGGTCCTGCTACTATGTGTCCTTCTGGCCAGTGTCTTCTTGCTGCTGCCCCTTGCCTGCCATGTTGAGTCCATCATTATTCCCCTGGAGACTGTGTAAAGCCACTTCATTCATCCTGCCCATGTCCCATGTCCTCTCTTTCCACCCCTGATTTTTTATTTTTTTGAGAGATTTTCGCTATAGGGCGCGTGCGCCAGACAGACAGAGAGAGACAGAGAGACAGAAAGTGAGAAATCACCCCTCAGGGGGGATGGTCACGCCGCAATCCCTTATCCTCCATTCTCCTCTCGGGATCTTGGGCATGCACGCACACGTGCCCAGCATGAGTTCTAAGCCACCGGGTCCGGGACGCGAACTGCAGTCGACTATGTGGGAGTCCAGCGACATAGCCATTACGCTAACTGCTGGTTCCCCCACCCCTGATTCTTGATATGTATCCTTTGGTCGAATCTGAGATTAGAAATGGTACTTTTTTTCTTGATTTAGAGAGAGATTTTTGCTATAGGGCGTGAGTGCTCGCCATAGAGACAGACAGAAAGCAAGAAATCACCCCCCCCAGGGGGGATGGCCACACCGCAATCCCTTCTCCTCCATTCTCCTCTTGGGATTTTGGGCACACACGCACACACACTCGGCCTGAGTTTTAAGCTGATGGGTCCTGGACTTGAACAGCGGTCAAATATATGGGAGTCCTCTGCTGGTCCCACATATGCTCTTTTTGACAAAGAAGTAAAATAATATAGGTGAAGAAAGACCTATGAAGCCACATACTACACAGGGTTGGATAATAGGAGTTTGGGATAGGTCACTCCCCAACTCAAAAATTGTCAATGGCTCCCTAGTGCCCACTTAATTGAGTTAGAAAAACCCCCAACAGAACTTCAACTTGCCTTGACAACCATGGGTGCCCTACACCACCCAGAAGAAGATGACTACTAGCCGTTCCTCATGCAGGGGAGAGTTTTTCCATCTTCATTTTCTTTGCACCCCCTCCACCTGGAAAGACCTTCCCCCCCTGCCAAGGCCGCCATGAGTTCAGAGCCCATGTGTTCCTTTAAGCACGTAGATGCCCACCAGCACTTCTGTCCCTTCCCTCTATTCATCTTTCTTTTACCACCCATGGCACTCACACCCGTTTCAGGTATGGAGTACAGTTGGCCTACTGTACTTTTAAAAACATAAACTATTTTGAGATCATCATAAATCTACAGACAGTTGTAAGAAACAACACAGAGGGATCCTGTGCAGCTCTGCCCAGGTCCTGCCACTGGTAACACCTGGCCACTACAGCCCCGAGTCATGGCCGGGCCCAGCTCAGGATTGTGATTAGATCGAGAACCAGAGATCACGTCCGAGGCCCTTGGCTTTGGCCTGGTCGCTCCCCGTACCCTTTCCTTCACTCTCAGCCTCTGGGCCTCAGCGGCCTCAGCGAGGAAGGGGCAGGTTGGGTCCTTGTGTCCACCGCTGCCTGCCGCGCCACCCTCCCGAGTTGGGGACGCCGTATCGTTCATTGGGCTTCTGAACGTCCCCTTGAAACGTCGGGGCGTCGCCGAGGCAGCAAGGCTGCACGCGCGTGTCCTAGCACCGACCTCCTACTATTACCGGTGGGCGACGGCGGCGCCTGCCCGGCGGGGACTGACCTCTGCCTTGGATTCGGGCACCTCGGTGGCCCTGTCGACACGCCACCTGCGGCCCGACTGCTCAGAGCGCCGCGGTTCCTTTGAGTTGTGTGGCCCTCTGCTTTCAGAAGTGGGTGCCTGGCGGGGCGCCCCGACTCCTTCCACCCCGGGCCGGGTGTGAGGCCGCGCGCCCCCGCGCCCCCAGTTTTTTTTTCGCGCGCCAATGCAGGCCGCCGCCCTCCCTGAGGAGATCCGTTGGCTCCTGGAAGGTAACGCCCCGGCCAGCCCCAGACCCCGTGCCCTGCGCCCCTTCTAGAACCTCGAGGCTTCAGGAACACTGCCCCCCACCGCCAGCCGCCCCCTCAGAGTCCCTTCCCCGCACCGTGGGTCCACATTCTCTTTCCCACACGGCATCCCCATGCCTTCTCAGAAACCCGAGGCCGCTGAACTCCCGGGGCCAGGCCTTGTTCTCGCCCTTTCTGCGAAGGACTGCCCCCACATCGGCAGGGCTCCGGTCCTCGGCCGCCCCCACCCCAGCTTCATCTCCTCCCGCAGAAGACCAGCCTTCCTGCTTTGGGTGCTCCCAGGCTCCCAAAGGGCTGTGCTGGGCCTATCGGGTCCTATGGGCCAAGGCTTGGTGGTCCTCGTGTTTGGTTCTGTGCCCCACCCCAGTCTCCCTTCACCGCCCTGCACACGTCTCGGGGTCCCATTCCCCAACCCAAGGCTCACATCAGCGCTACATTTCTTTGATAGAAGTGCCCCATTGTGTGTGGTGTATTCACTTTCAGACCTCCTTGTCCAAGCAGTCCTTTAAAGAGTCAAGGGCTTGCAGGTGGCGGGTGACTCAGGTGCGGAACTCCCACATGGCCAGCCACGGTTTGTCCGGACAGGGAGACTTGAAACCCATGCGGGGTGCCTGTGCGTGGTGCCCAAAATCCTGAGAGGAGAATGGAGGAGAAGGAATTGCAGCGTGGCAGTATCCCCTTGGGGGGTGATGCCTCACTTTCTCTCTCTCTGTCTCTCTCTGTGTCTCCAGTGAGCACACTTGCCCTATAGCAAAAATATCTCTTTAAAAAAAAAAAAAAGAGTAGAGGCCAACCTCACAAGACTCAACAGCTACTCCTGCCAATGGAAAGACACGTTGACACTTTGCTGCGTCATCTGCTCAGTCCCCACTGTTCATGGGGACAGTAATTTTTACTTGCTTTCCTGTACCTTCTAGGGAACACAGAGGTCTGGAATATGCAGTTGCAGAAGGTCCCAGGAGGACACTGTTCAGAATGAAGCCTTTTGGCATCTAAGTGACATTTTTGACACATATTTAACAGATGGCTTGCTTTGGGCAGGTCATACTTTTGGCAAGCAGTGTTTTCCTTTTTTTCAGATTCTCACAATTTAATTAGTTTTATATCTCCATTACCTTGTTATCTTGGTCTAAATGCCTCCTAATCAAATATTTGGCAAGTCCTTTTGGTCTCTATCTGTAGCACTGTTTCCATTCTGGATTGCTTTTATGTAAAAACTGTCAACTAGGTATTTCTGTAGAGGTGAGATTTCCAAAAGTGGTTTTACTTAGAACTAGACTTTGGGAGTAGAAAAACATTTGCAGGGTCAGAGTATCATATAGATGTCTAAGAATAAGCAACAGAGCCGAGCCAGCCAGTGGCATGGTAGTTGATATGGCTGGATCCCCCATGGCCCACCACATGTTTCCAGTCCTGGTCCCGATGACTTGAGGCAACATGCCAGGCACACGTGCCCCAAATCCCAAGGATGGTGAAGGGATTGCAGTGTGGCCATCCACCCTGAGGGGTGCTTTCACACTTTCTGTCTCTCTGTGGTGATCGTATGCATCCTATAGCAAATTAAAAAATTAAAAAAGAGAGAAGCAACTTAACCTCTCCTCTGCTATAGCTTTGAATATTAGACTTGTGATGGAAGGTTGTAATTGTCTTGGTTTCTAGGAGAGAAGGGACTGTGGCAAAAAGTTTAACTCTGCCCTTGCATTTAAAAATACAGAGTGATTCTTTTTATTGCTCTGTCATTTAATGAGAGAAAACCTGTTTTATAAGCTTGTTAAACTTTGTGTTCAGCCTTGTTAGAAAATTCCTTTTTATTTTCAGAGACTTGCAATGAACTCCATCCCTTCAGCAGTTTTGATGTGCTGTTCTTTATTGTTCAAAACTGACACTTTGGTAAACAACTCATTTCTGCACCTGCCACCTTCCTTTAGCTTAGATTATTTTCTTGTTAGCTGCCTGTTTTTAATTGAAGTCTTCAGATCTCCTTCTAAAGTAGTACCTTTGTTTGCTGACAAGTGGAGCAGGGTATGAATGGAGATTAATTGCATGTCACATACTTCTGTATCAAACTTGCTGTGTCTTAACAATCTCTGTTGGTGCTCAGGTCTTTACAGTATATGGAGAATCTGAGGTTAAATTTTAAAAACAGAATTATTTATTTTATTTGTTATCATTTAATTTGCTGTACAGCATGTGTGCTCACCAGAGAGAGAGAGAGAGAGAGAGAGAGAGAGAAAGCAAACTGCTCAGTCTGGGACTTGAACTACGGTTGGCCATGTGGGAGTCCAGCACCCTAACCACTCTGCCATCTACTGGCAACCTGAGGTTACATTTTAAGGAGTTTTGTTGGTGAATGTAGTTCAGGTTTTTTTTTTTTTTTTCCTTTTTTCTTTTTAGTTTGCAATTAGAGTTTGAATCTGAAGGTGACTCAACCAAAGATTGTATTGAAAAATGTTTAAAGAATATATTTTCAAAGGTTCCCATAATAGCAACAACATATTGGTTATAGGTTTTATTTTTTATAGGACAGTGTTGTATAGACCAGTAGTTATTCATTGTGTAACAAATAATTTGTGGCTATTAGAAAGCCAAATTGCCCATCAATTTGTCATCTGTTCCTGTTTACTTGTCGCCCCCACCACACACTTTTTAAGGTTAACTGTTGACAATTTGAAAATATGTAGGTCCTGATCTCTATATAGTTGCTCAGTGGGAGGGAGTCACAGGATGTGAGAGCTGCAACTCTAAGGCTGTGGGGTGGAGTTTCCACAATGAATTACTACTTTCATAAACCAAGACATATGCATTTGTGCAGTGATTTAATACTGGCCATCTCAGAGCCATAACTTAAGCATTTATTTATTTATAACTAAACGAGCATAAATGACAGGAGTATTTTTTGACATAATATGTGTGCTTTTAAAAATAAAATATGCAAAGCACTGTGAAAGGTTTATACCAAAATTTGGCAAATGAAGTAGGGGACAGAAATTCTGAAGATCAAAAATTAATGGTGTTTAAATAGAACATTTGAAAATGTTTCGTTTGCTCCAGAAACTTCATTCCTAGGAATCAGTTACTAAAGTAAAGCCATGAAGTACATGCACAAAGATCCAACCTAAATGTCCATGAGTTGGGAAAGGCAGGATAATGGGTGAATGAATTATGGGAAGTCTGTTTCATGGAATGCTCTGCAGCCATTAAAAAGGATGCAATGGATCTATGTATGTGTTGGCTTGGGATGTGTCCATGGCATGTTTTTAAGACTAAAAAGCAAAAAATGCAATAGTGTATGTAATATACCATGTTTGTTTGAAAATGAAAAGTGAAACCAAAAAGGCCCATATGTTATATATGCTTGTGTAAGCCTAGGAAAAAGTAAAAAGGATTTATACCAAGCTGTTAAACCAAGCTGTCAACATTGGCTTCCTTGTGAGATGAGTGAATTGGGGAAAGAGGAAGCTATTCATTTTTATTCCATACATCTTCATTTTGTTTGAATTGTGACAGTGACCTTGTACTACTTTTATAGTCAGGGAAAAAACAACCAATAAGGTTATTTAAAAGAAAAAAGAACTGGGCTGGCAGGTGGCATGGAGGTTAAGGTGGCTGGATCCCACATGACTGATTCTGTGGTTCAATTTCTGGACTAAGGTTTGAAAGCATGCCACGTGCAGTGTGTGTGTGTGTGTGTGTGTGTGTGTGTGTGTGTGCCTGAAATTCCGAGAGGAGAAAGGAGGAGAAGGGATTGCAAAGTGGGCAGAACCCCTGGGGAGTGCACAGGGGTTATAGTTTGAAGAAGAAGAAGAAGAAGGAGGAGAAGGAGGAGAAGAAGAAGAAGAAGAAGAAGAAGAAGAAGAAGAAGAAGAAGAAGAAGAAGAAGAAGAAGAAGAAGAAGAAGAAGAAGAAGAAGAAGAAGAAAGAGCAACAAACAAAAGCCCTCCAAAGAGAATTCTGTGGGGCCATTAACCATGACTGTGATTGTGCTTTTCGCATTTTAGCTCTGCAGAGTGTGGAAGCTGAGGAATTTTAAAAAATGCTCTCTTGGGACCAGCACTTGGCGTAATAATGGCTATGTTGCTGGACTCCCATGTAATCGACTGCTTTGAGTCCCAGACCCAGTGACTTAAACTCAGGCCGGGCGTGTGTGCATGAGTACCCAAGATCCCCAGAGGAGAATGGAGGAGAAGGAATTATGGTGTGGCCATCCCCCCCGGGGTGTGATTTCTCACTTTCTGTCTCTCTGTCTCTCTTTCTGGCGAGTGCACACACCCTATAGCAGAAACCTCTAAAAAAAAAATTGCTCTCTTGGATTTTGGGCAAATGTCAAAGCAGTGAAAGGCTTCTAGAGGAACTCAGGAAACAGCTTCCTCAGATAGACTCTGTCAAGCTCTCATATAGAAATAGTAACTAGTCCGCTATCAGCAAATAAGTGCCTTATAGATAAGTAAAATGAAGGACGACTTCTGAGTTATTGAAAGAGGAGGAAGTATTCAGGTCTGTTTTCAAATAATAGGACTACAGAGGTAGAAGTTATCTCTTTGTTTTTGTTTTGTGATAACCATGCTGAAAACAAAAACAATGGAATGCTGGCAGTTGGCATAATCTTGGTTCCACAGATACAAACATAATCGGTCTCGTCTTCCTGGTCTTTCTAACCTCCTTTTTTGAAGTCAGAAGCAAAAGAGGTGAGTATAAAGGAGGTGGAATAGATATTTCTTTGGCTCACAATTTGCCCTGTGTGATGGATGGGACATATTGACTTTACCCTGAGAGCTGATAGGTTCCGAATACCTACATGGTCCTTCTTAGAATATGGATTTAAGCCAAAAGATCATCAACAACCTGGCTGCTTATAACAATTGCTGCGTTAACGCTGATTCTGATATGGCTGTACTTACTTATTTTTAAACTTCCTTGGAAAGAAGCAGTCATTAATCATTTCCTTCCAGATCGTTCTCCAGATT